TGCACTACTGACTGAGCCAGCCAGATGTCCCGTAACTTGAACCATCTTAATCACAAAAGAGATTGGCAACAGAGAAGCCATGATAACCAAAAAAGGAAAACAATCAAATCTAGGTAGTTATTGTTCTCTCATCTACGGTCCTCTCAGCATGTCAACTTCCTTTTCTCCTCCTGCAGATACATTTAATTACAAGAGAGGGAACCGGCAAATCCTGTACTCAACAATCACACAGTGTTACGAGCACTCCATGAAGCTATGTCACAGCAGAGTGTTATATCAAGGCCCAAAGATTGAGGAGTCCAAGCAGGTCTGTCTGAAGATAAAAGAATGTGACACAACTCCTTTTTTTTTTTAATTTTTATTTATTTATGATAGGCACACAGTGAGAGAGAGGCAGAGACACAGGCAGAGGGAGAAGCAGGCTCCATGCACCAGGAGCCTGACATGGGATTCGATCCCCGGTCTCCAGGATCACGCCCTGGGCCAAAGGCAGGCGCTAAACCGCTACGCCACCCAGGGATCCCTGTGACACAACTTTTAAGTAGTTTGCTGTCAAGCCATCTCAGGAAGTGGAAGCAATTGAGGAAAGCAGCTCTCTCCCAATTCCAGGGAGCTTCAGGCACTGTTCTCACCTCCATGCTCAAAGGCGAATGGAAGAGCCATCCTTCGTTTGGAGAACCAAAGCCTCATACCCACTGAGGTCCCAATTCCACCAGTCCTCTTGCATGGCTATTCTTCTTTAAGAAACAAATAGTCTCCTGGTTCTGATCTCTCTCTTACATTTATTATGTAATTAGAATTAGTCAAATTCTCTTATCCTACCACAAAGAAAAGGGCTCCTTTGGTTGTATGCAAAGGCATATGAGGGCAGAACCACATTTGATTTTGCCCCAGGATCCAATTTTACAACACTGAGGTTTCTTGAATAGTTACAGTAACTAGTTGTAAAACACAATGAAAGGATAAAAAAAAAAAAATTTTTTTTTAAATAATAGCCACCAATCTTCAGGGAAAAGAATGATTCTGAATTCCAGGAAATGTGGGAGGATCAGTTCTCTCCCCTCTTCTGATCCTGGTGGGGCTAGTTGCATTTCTTACAGCCTCTTGTGAAAAACACTTTGACCAACTTCTGGTGCAGACTAATTACAAAATGTATAATAGGGCCCAGTGCAAAACTAAAATGCAAGGCTCCCTGGTCAAAAGTTATTATGATGCAGTAGCACTGCATGGAATCAAATGTGGGACTTCTCTAAGCACAGCGCCCTGAACTCTAGATAGCTTGCCCATGGAGCAGGCCCTGTTCTGTAGTCAGCTCTCCAACCATAGGTGCTCACTAACAGGCCCAAGGGCGGAGCAGGAAACAAGCATCTTGCCCAAAAGCATCCCTGGCCAGAGAGATGCAACTTTCTCTCCAACACAAGCCTTTCACATACATCTTTCCCCCAGTTCTTTGAGACATCTTATATAACTGGAAAACACTTGGGATGTTTTCCTAGAATAAAGAAAGTCTGCTTAAAGTCTAATAAAATGTTCATTCCTGCCAGATAAAAATTACTTGCAGCTTTCACAAAAATTTTTAATTCCTTCAGCTGCAACCCATTAGGGTTTACAAAACTAAGTATCCAGGGACACCTGGGTGGCTCAGCGGCTAAGCACCAGCCTTCAGCTCAGGGCGTAATCCTGGAGTCCCAGGATTGAGTACCACATCAGGCTCCCTACACGGAGCCTGCTTCCCCCTCTGCCTATGTATGTGTATGTGTGTGCGTGTGTGTGTCTCATGAATAAATAAATAAAGTCTTAAAAAAAAATACTAAGCATCTGAATTTTGGCCTAAATTCTCTGAGCAAAGCTGAAGGTCCCTCAAGCCCATGGGCCCTCAGTGAGAAAACACCTACATTGACTTCCTTTCGCCACTAAAAAGCAAGTTGTTATTGCATTTTGTGTATATGTATCTGATCTCTATGTTGAACACTCTATAGACTTTTTAGTTAATTCTTGTAGGCTTTCCAGGTATGCAACCAAATCATCACAAATAATGCCATTTGCTTTCTGCTTTTGATTTGTTGTAGCTTATTCTGTCTTATTTGGCTATAATGCAGTTTCTTTCAAAATTAACTGACAAATGAATCTTGTTTTGTGGGAAACTTGAAAATTTCAGAATACAGCTTATCTAGGGAAATAAATGCCTAGGAGCAATGAAAAAATTGAGGAAAAGTATTAATTAGGAGGGATTACTGTACCAGATATCAAAATATCCTATTGAACCATGGAAACTAATGACACATGGGCACCTGGGTGGTTCAGTTAGTCAAGTTTCTGCCTTCAGTTCAGGTCATGATCTCAGGGTCCTGGGATCAAGCCTCCCATATGGCTCCCTGCTCAGCGAGGAGGCTGCTTCTCCCTCAGCCTGCTCCCCCTGCTTATGTGCACACATGTTCTCCCTCTCTCTCTCCCTCTTTTTCTGTCAAGTAAATAAAATCTTTTAAAAAATAAAATAAAATAATTTCACATCCTGACAAAAACAAGACTTTCAGAAGATCTTAAAATGTTCAAATTAATTTTGTACATATTTAGTATACAAGAAAGTAGCATTTCAAATCAATAATGAAGTGATTATTTAGTATATGGTGTTTCAAAAACTAACAATGAGGATTAAGAATATAACCATAGGGATCCCTGGGTGGCACAGCGATTTAGCGCCTGCCTTTGGCCCAGGGCGCGATCCTGGAGACTCGGGATGGAATCCCACGTCGGGCTCCCGGTGCATGGAGCCTGCTTCTCCCTCTGCCTGTGTCTCTGCCTCTCTCTCTCTCTCTCTGTCTCTCTGTGACTATCGTAAATAAATAAAAAATTAAAAAAAATAAGAGTTTAAAAAAAAAAGAATATAACCATAATTGTAACTACAGAATTACAAGAAAATATTTTATTTTTTATTATTATTTTAAGCATTTTTAAAAAGATTTTATTTATATATTCATGAGGGACACACACAGAGAGAGAGGCAGAGACACAGGCAGTGGGAGAAGCAGGCTCCATGTAGGAAGTCCAATGGGGGACTCAATCCTGGTTCTTCAGGATTATGCCCTGGGCCAAAGGCGGCACTAAACTGCTGAGCCACCCAGGCTGCTTCTATTTTAAGTATTTTAAGTATTCTCTACACCCAATGTCCGGCTTGAACTCACAAACCCAACAAGACTCACAAGCTCTATTGACTGAGCCAGCCAGGTGCTGCTCAAAATATATATTAATAATCGTAGGACATAAAAGACCATTCTAAACATGAATCAAATCCAGGAATCCATGATAAAAAGATTGTTAAAGATGCCTATTTAGAGAGGCACCTGGGTAGCTCAGTGGGTTAAGTGCCCAAATCTGGATTTTAACTCAGGTCATGGGATCAAGCCCTGTGGTGATCCACTCTGGACCTCAGCTCAGGACTCCATTTCAGGGTCATGAGTTCATGCCTTCTGTGGCCTACTTCAAAAAAAGAGTTACTAAAAAAAAAAACATCTACTTAACAATGTAATGCCTCTGGACGGGTTAAATGATCACAAAGTTGAAAGACAACAATCAAAACAGGAAAAATATTTGTAAAATATAAAACAAAAGTGTCTTTATAAAAAATATTTAAATATTCTACAAATCATTAAAAAGATAAAAATCCAATAGAAAAATAAGCAAAAAATTTGACAGACAATTCATGAAAAAATAAAGTCTCCAATGATCATATGAAAAGTACTTACCCTCATCAATAACGTATCAGTTGGCTTGTTAATTTGACCATTCTCAGTTATAGTGAGGAAATACATTTGGGTAAAATCTATTTAAAGGACACTAGGTAATACCAACCAAAATTAAAAGTGCACATACCCTTTGACCCAGCAATTCTACCTCTAGAAAGTTATATTACAAGAACACAAATGAGTGCTTAAAAATCTATTCATCTCACCTTTGTGGTAAATGATCTAATCGTTCAAAATTGAGTACTGGTTGGATAAATTGTGGAACGTCCATGTCATCCATATAACTTAACAGAAAAAGAATGAATCAAATCTGCATGTGCTGACATGGGAAAAGATGTCCATAAGTACATAGAGAAACAACCAAAGCAAGCTGAAGAAGAGAACATATATGTAAGATTCCATTTTATTAAGAACGAGATGGGCTCAAAGGTCAAGAATATCACCTTCTCTAACTCCCAGTGCTAAACCACTTTTTATCCTCTTACCCTGAATTTTTTTTTTCTTTAGAGTATTTTCACTCATAGGACATTGCTTTTGTTCATTGTTTGTAGAAAGCGCCACGTGTGCAAGGACTTTATTTTTTCAATGCTCTATCCTCACTTTTTAAAACATTTTAGGTGCTCCATAAATAATACCTGAAAAAAAAAAAAAAACGAGTGGACGCCCAGAAACATACATACATACATACATAGCTCAAAAGGTCACGTACTTTTCAAAGAATGTGGATTTAAGGGGAAAAAAATTTCCATGATCTGGCACTAAAGGCTAAAATACCCTAAAGTAATTAATATTTGTAGGATCTTTTTCCAGTAGACAAAGCAGCTTTAGTTACACAGTCTCACTTGGTTCTTTTAACATCTCTATGACATACATAAATATAGAAATAATTAACATTTATTTGAACTATATGGTTTACTATATAGTTTTTCCATTTATGGTCCCAATCTTGCCCAATTCATTCCTTTTTATTTTGTTTTCCAGATTAGTTCTGAACAGCTACAAATATATATATATATTTCCCTCATACGAAAATCTTGCTCCCTGCCTTTCCACGCAATGTACCTGTACTGATCCTTCAAAAGCCAGCTCATGGGAGACAACCGGCCTCTTTCTTCTTTTCTAAACTACAGACCTACACAGGGGACGAGACACACCACCTACCTACCCATCCGTAGCTTACCCCAAAGGCTGCCCCAGAGGACCTCCAGGCCTGACTGGCTCCGCCCACGCAGGCGGACGCCGGGGTCGAAGTCCCCGCCCCTTCCGAGGAGTTTCCCAAAACCCCGCGCGGCAGTGCCCAGCCGCTCTAAGATGGCGACTCCCATGCATCGGCTCATAGCTCGGAGACAAGCGTAAGTGAGGCCCCGAGTAGGGCCGCGGGGCGGGCTGGGGGCGGGGAGAAGCGCGTCAGCCGGCGGGTGAGCAGGGGCCGGGATGCGGGGCAGGTATCGGGTCTTCCGTGTGGACGGGCGGAGGGTGGTCGTGCCTCTCACTTGTTGCTGCTCCACAGGGGCTCGGCCCGGGTGATAAGTTTGGTGTCCAAGGGCTAGTGATTGCGTGGAAGATGACTGCGTAAGGTCCACGGGGCGGGACCCAGGTTGCGGGGTGGGTGAGTGTGTGTTGGCGGGGAGGGTCTGAAGAGAGCCCAGCGTTTGCTTTCCGCGCTGGAGACGCGCAGGAGTTGGGCACTAAGTGGCGTATGCCCCTTGGCCCCCCCGGCCGCCCACCCTGTGCGTGGCCAGAGGAAGCCTACAGGGACCCCTTCCGCTCTCACCCACGTAAACCTTGGCTTGCTCTGCAGCTTCCAGCCCAGCTGGCTTTTCCCACCCCGCTTCCTATCGCCTTCCCTAGAAGCAGCCTGACTACAATGCCGGTTTTCCGCCCGAGTTATTTTCTCGCTTTCTGCCATTTATTCTCTTCAATAAATAACTGATTCATCATCTGTTTCTCGCTGTCAGATTTTGGGTGTCAAGGAAAAGAGGTGTTCAAGAATAGGAATCTCTGCTTTCAGGAAAGTTATATTCCATTCGTAAAGAGTCGGTAAACTGAACGTTTTAAGTAAATACAGTTGGTGTTAAGAGCTTTGAAGGAAATAAGAGGTGATGGAAAGAAAGGCCCAGGTTACATTGGTTGGACTGGAAAGGCATCCCTGAAGAGGTGGCGTTTAAACAGATTGAAAGTGTGAGAAAAGAGCCAGACGTGAGAACATTTGGGGGAAAAGCATTAGACGGTACCATAATTCCTTTGAGACAGGAAAGAACTTTAGTTTTGGGTGTGTTTGTTTGTTTTTAAGATTGATTGATTGATTGATTGATTTGTGATAGACAGAGAGAGAGAGAGAGAGAGAGAGAGGAGGGCAGGCAGAGACACAGGCAGAGGGAGAAGGAGAAGTAGGCTCCACGCAAGAGGCCCGACGTGGAACTCGATCCTGGGACTCCAGGGTCATGCCCTGGGCCAAAAGCAGGTGCCAAACCGCCGAGCCACCCCAGGAAGTGGCGGGGTGGGGGAGGGGAGGTAGTTTCTTAAACTGGCTATACAGCCAGTTTGGAGCTAAACATGAGGCTGGATCCCTGACCCTGAGATGATGACCTAAGTGGAAATCAAGAGTTCACTGCATAACTGACTGAGGCATCCAGGCTCCCCAAGAACTTTAGTTTTTAAGAACTGAAAGCTGGCGATTATAGCTGGTGACCAAGAGAGAGTGGCACAAGAAGTGCCATGGACACATAATGCAGGTATTGTCCAAAATGCCCCTCTACTGTAAGCGTTTTTTCTTCTACCCCCCTGCACACCTTAACAATCTGCCCTTTTTTCATTCTCTTAGCATTTCATGCTATTACCATTTGCAAGTGCATAACATATCACTCATAGTCTGCTTGCATATATATGTGTGTGTTTCTTTTTACATTTCTGTTTTTTATTCTTTATTGTTGTTTTTCCTTCTCTTCTCTCCATCAGATTCTACCTTTCACACCTAATGAAGAGTTCTTTGAGCATCAAGATGAAGACCTAGGGAGTCAGAGTAGTATGCCTGGTGGAGAAGGCTTTGAAGTCAGACAATTCTAAGGTTAAGAATTGAGTGAATTTAACAATAGGTGTGCTACATTGGGTTTCCAGGGTCTCTAACACTCAGATTTGTTCTTGTGAGTGTTAGTTACACACTTGGATAGGTTCATTCCGTTGGTCTCAAGATGGCTCACTATCTTTGGTCCTTTATATCCTCTCAACTTCAACTTGATAGCATATCATTTGTCTAGATTGAGTCATGTCTGTGGGATTGTGATGCTCTGATTTGCAGCTCTCATTCTTTTACCAGCACAGTTGGATGGATCTCTATAAAACAATAAGCTAGATAGGTAGTTAAAATAGATAATAAATACTAGGGTGGCAAAACCAAGCAATGTCCACTTAAATATGAAGTGAAAGACTTTTAGCATCTAAAGAGTATTGCTATTATTTCAGAAGTAATAGAAAGTTGAACAAATACTGTTTTTCTATGGAATGCCTGTATTTTGTACATGAGCTACGCAGAAAAATAAAAGACAAATCTTACCTTTAGGAGCTTCTTGTCTTGTTGGCAAGAAAACAAATGGTGTATGATAAAAGTAGTCATGGTATACAGAGTAAATCCTCAGGGAGTTGGAGAAGGAGACTTTTAGCATTTAGGGGAATCTGGTAGAGTTTGGGGAATATTTTGGGGGGAGAAACAAGAGGAACCATTACTTATCATCTTGTGTTCATCAGAAAGTTTTAATGTTATTTTTTTTTTTATTTTTATTTATTTATGATAGTCACAGAGAGAGAGAGAGAGAGAGGCGCAGAGACATAGGCAGAGGGAGAAGCAGGCTCCATGCACTGGGAGCCCGATGTGGGATTCGATCCTGGGTCTCCAGGATCGCGCCCTGGGCCAAAGGCAGGCGCCAAACCGCTGCGCCACCCAGGGATCCCTAATGTTATTTATAAAAAGCACATATTACTTCCATAATAACAAGTTTTAAACTTTTTTTTTTTAAGTTGGTTATGAGAAGTTGAGAAAGTACTGTTCTTTTTTTAAGACTCTGGACTAGTAGAGGGGAGGGAGGAAATAAAAGAGGAAAAAAAAAGAGAGAGAGAGCCTAAATTTGAACTTCTTATTCAGCAGATCTTTCAGGGAGTTAACTTTAAATCAATTGAAATGAAATTACTTTCAGTTTGTTAATTGTAATTACATCTGCTTATATGTAAGTAAATTGTAGAGTCTTGGCACTATCTGGGGTCATTTCTTCTGCTAAACCTTCCACTGGATTCCAATACTATCTTCATCATCCAGGGGAATTATCTAACTTTAGCTTGAGGACCTTTAGGAAGGACATAGTACCTCCTAGAGTAGCCCATTAGCTTTTTCAAATCTGTCAAAAAGTTTATGTGGAACTGAAGGGAAAATAATATTTATGAAGCTAAACCCTGCTCCTTTCTAATTTCCTAGGTTTGGACCTAAACTGTGGTTTCAGTTAATTAAAAACCCTAGGTGTTGGATGCATGGGTGGCTCAGTCAGGTAAGCATCTGCTTTCAGCTCAGGTCATAATCGCAGAGTCCTGGGATCGAGGACGAGCCCCGTGTCCGGCTCCCTGCTCAGTGGAGAGTCTGCTTCTCCCTCACCATCTTCCCCTCCCCATTATGGGCTCGCTCTCTTGCGCGCTCTCTCTCTCTGTCTCTCAAATAAATAAAATCTTTAAAAAAGAAAAACCTAAGTGTTAATCAAGGTGTGATCAATTGCCATCAAGTCAGGCTTCCTCTGTCTTGTATTGATTTTCAGGACTTAAGTGTTAGACTTACTTTTACCCTTGTTAAATTTCATCTTGTTAGATTTGACACTGAGTTTTACTCTGTCAAGACCTTTTTTTTTTTTTTTTTAAGATTTTATTTATTTATTCATGAGAGACACAGAGAGCGAGAGAGGCAGAGACACAGGCAGAGGGAGAAGAAGGCCCCATACAGGGAGCCTGACATGGGACTTGATCCGGGAACTCCAGGATCACGCCCTGGGCTGAAGGCGGTGATCCACCTGATCCAGCTGAGCCACTCAGGCTGCCCTCAAGACCTTTTTGGATCTTCATTTGGTCATCTTTTGTATTAGCCCTCTCTCTTAGCTTTGTGTCGGCTACAGGTTGGATAAATAGGCACATCTGTGCCCTCCCAAGTCATTTCTAAAATGTTGAACAAGTCCAAACTGAAGACCAAGGCCTCAAGCCATCACTGGATACCTCTCTATACATTTACTTCAACCCATTAAACAGTAGTCTGTTGTCCATGATGATCAACTGATCTACCTAGTTGTTCTGTTTTGTTCACAAGGATGTTGTAAGAGACTTTCCAAGATGCCTTATTGAAATTCAAATACCCAAAAGCCAATAACGGTATTAGGTGTAATGATTTGATAGTTGGTGATCAGGGCTTTTCTTTCTGAATGGATTTAATAAATCTAGCCAGAATTTTGCCTGGAATGGATGTCAAGTTCAGTGTTCTACTTTGTGGAATCTACCTTTCTCCCCACTTTGAAAATCAAAACTGCATTTGCCTACTTCCAGTCTTTCACTTCTGTTTGCCAGGGTCTCTCAGATTACCAGCAGCAGTACGGTCGTCTCACCTGGAAAATCTCTGGTATGTTTAGGGAGCAATCACTTGGGCTGTGTGACTTAAACATATTCAGAATGGATAGAAGGGCTCTGTTACCCACCCCTCACTATCTTGGGGTTCAGTTCTACTCTTCTAATCGTGCATATAATTGTGTTTGAGTGAAGACGGAAGCAAAATTAATATAATCCTACTTTTACTCATAGCCTACAACATCACATTGGTGGTGTGTTCACCTAGCACCCTGAATAATGAGCTATCCGTTTTTTGGTTCTTTTTTTTTTTTGATTTAATTTTATTTTAATTTAAATTTCTATTTATTTATGATAGTCACACAGGGAGCGAGAGAGGCAGAGACACAGGCAGAGGGAGAAGCAGGCTCCATGCACCGGGAGCCCGGCGTGGGATTTGATCCCAGGTCTCCAGGATCACGCCCTGGGCCAAAGGCAGGCGCCAAACCGCTGCGCCACCCAGGGATCCCAGTTTTTTGTTTCTTTAAAAATAGCTTTAGGGGCAGCCCCGGTGGCGCAGCGGTTTGGCGCCGCCTGCAGCACAGGGCGTGATCCTGGAGACCCTGGATCGAGTCCCACATCAGGCTCTCTATGATGCCTGCTTCTCCCTCTGCCTGTGTCTCTGCCTCTCTCTATGAATAAATAAATAAAATCTTTAAAAAATTTAAAAAAAATAAAAAATAAAAATAGCTTTAAATATAGCTAAAACACAAAGTAATTTGTGTTC